GGATGGATAGATGGATGGATAGATGGATGGATGAATAGATAGATAGATAGATAGATAGATGAATAGATAGATAGATTGATTGATGAATAGATGGATAGATAGATGGATGGATAGATAGATAGATGGATAGATGGATAGATAGATGGATGGATAGATGAATAGATGGATAGATAGATGGACGGATAGATGAATAGATGGATAGATAGATGGATGGATAGATAGATAGATAGATAGATAGATGGATAGATGAATATATAGATGGAATGGATAGATGAATAGATAGATGAATAGATAGATGAATATATAGATAGATGGATGGATAGATGAATAGATGGATAGATAGACGGACGGATAGATGAATAGATGGATAGATAGACGGACGGATAGATGAATAGATAGATAGATAGAACTTTATTATTACCCTGAGATTTTCCTTTCCTATGGTACCTGATGCCCCTCGTTACGGACATGCCACTGAGCGGCCCGTTATATATATATATAAAAAAGAGACAAGGAAACCAAACACGCATGCACATAGAAATGAATCGAGGCAAAGTTATTGACAGGACATACTGTCAATCAGAGGTGTGGACTCAATCAATTTGATGACTTCAGACTCCACTTGACCAAATGTAAAGAGACTTGCCACTCGACTTGAACTTTAACATCAACGACTCGTGACTTCACTTGGACTCGAGCCCTTTGACTCGACATGACTCGATACTTTCCCCAAATCCCAAAGTGATCTGTGTAAATATATTGTTATTTTGTTTGAAAAGGACTAGAAAGGACTCGAAAAACAGAAACGGCAGGACTTGGGACTTGACTTGACACTTTTCAGTCTTGACTTGACTCGGACTTGAGTGCAAAGACTTGAGACTTACTTGTGACTTGCAGGGAAAAGGCAGAAGTATAATGATAATTTTACATTACAATACATTGTGAGTATTGTAATAATAGAAATAAATTATATAATTTAAAGTTTAGCAGGCAGGATTAAAGCCCCCGTGCCTTAGTTTAAACTGATCTAGACTGATGTTGACTTTAGTAAAGGACTTCACTAAAGTTTTGAGAGAAACTTTCGACGCGTTTTTTATTAGTAAACATCAATATAATGACAGGAATGGAAACCCTTCAACTCTTCAATTTTGAGTTATTTTTCCTTGACATTTCTTCTTCTTGTGATTCTATATATTTGAATTAGTGATAAATAAAAACGGGTATGAAATGCATACATCTACCATATATACATTTTGGTTAATCAAATTAAAAATATATATAGCTAAATATATACAGCTGCAATAATGTTTGGAAAGTCCTATACCAAACTATTCAGGATGAATACACTAATTAAATACACATTGTCAATACTATTAATATATATGAACATAGATATGCATTCGGTTAGGCTAAACTGTTTTTGTACTGTCGAATTGTTCCAGTGATGAAGGACTCTGTGTGTGAAACCACTCTGCCCAGTGATGCTGACACCGATGAGGACGACGACTTATTGAGAAGGGAAGGCACCGGCCTTGACCAGGTCCAAGTTTCACTGGCATATCACGTCCAGCCCCCCGAGTTTGCCATGGATCCGCAGAACATTTCGATGGCGGACGTAAGCCCCACTAAAGTCAAATCAGAAGGATCTGAAACAGGTGGGTGAGACAGTGTGAATAAATGCTCGAAAATGAAGAACTTTGTGAGTGGAAATGAGGTAATACATAAAAATGGTTCCTGTGCGTCCAACTGTCTGACATAATCTTGTCCAATGGGTCTGTATAACAAAACAAAAATATCAGCCAATTCTGTAGTGTAAATAAAAACAATGCGTCACATCTCTTTTTTCCCTGGTCTGTAAATCAAATAATTATACATTTTAATATAGTCTTAGTCTAACTTTGTCGGGTCCTCGACTAACATTGGAATTGTGTTCCTACGGTGCAACGTAACTTAATTTTTTCGACGTAAGTCAACATCAAAATCGAAGACATAAAAACATCAGAGGTGTCTGACTTACTTAACCAGTAAATGTAATGAGCGTCCGCCTGATCACAAATTCGTTTTTCCGATGTACGTAAGTTTATGGGAGATGGCGACAAAACCGCGAATCACCATAGGTCGAGGACCCTTTAAACTAAGGGCCTCTTGTATTAAAATGACTTCTATTTAAAACGATTACGCGACTATGTGACTCTGAAAAAACTATCTTTAAAAAAAAAAAAAAATTTAATATTTTAAATTTAATAATTTAATAATGTTAGGACTGCTGTAATTTTTTTTTACTGTTGACTGTCATGATGATGTCAATGCGGTTTTGCTATTGTGCCTTTTCTGTCTACTTTATTAGTCAGTTTTGTCGCTTCCCCATTGTGAACCTTACCGTTACATGTTGTAAAAGCCTATATTGCTTTGAGTAGAAGGATGAGTCCAAAGTCTGACTTGAAAGTTTTATTTAAAAAAAAAAAAAAAACAAACCAGAGGGACAAAGCCCGAGGCTCCCACGTATCCAGGAAAACCTGGAAAATGATTGACCAATTTTACAGCCATGGAAAACATATGGAAAATGAGGGAAAAAAGTGTCAAATGTCATGGAAACAGTGAAGCCATACTCGAAAATTCAGTATCCTCCCCCTGCGTTGTGAGCGAATGCAAACCAGCGCAAACCTACAGGAAAGTTTAATAAACCAAATTAACTTATACACATACATACATTGAATGACATTACTTTCTTTTATATTGACTCTTTTCACTGCAGAGATTTTATAATTTTTTTTTTATGTTTGAGAAATGCCGGTGCCAGTTGTGTAAAGTTTTACATTATTCAGTGATACATTTGTCATTATTAATTTTAATAGATAAATCATAGCTAAAGCGAGGATAAAATGTAAGAAATAGAGTTAGAAACAAACTTTGGATAGATGGAAATAATAATAAAAAAAAACCATAGGAAGGACACTTTTCAAGAATGAGCCGGACGGGAATGTGCTAGTTAGCTATTATGTGAGTTGTCGCCGCAACTCACACTGCCCTTTAAACTCTCTCATTTACTCATTCACTGACGTAATTGACAGGCATGTCCACAAATAACATCATAACATCACGTGAGTGGCAATAGAATATAGCACACTGGACATAAGTGGACCACTGCTGTAATGCTTGAATGATAACTAGACTCCAGTCCACTAGGTGGCAGCAACTCATACAGTGGTTTGTACAGATAACAATATACATTTCTGTCCTCAAGGGGGGGGGGCATGACGGAAATAATTGAAAACCACCAGACTTAAAAATGTTTACGTCGGAATTTTGTTCCTACGACGCAACATAACTCGATTTTCACCCTCAAGTCTGAATTTGCATACTGTCAACCTATTTCACAGTCATCGTAACCTAGGTACGTAAAATCATCAGAAGACTCTGACTTACATTTGGGAGGTTCCCAGAAGAACAACACAAACGAAAGAAAGTGAGGGTGCAACGTACAACGTAACCATGGAACAACAGTTTCTTAATAAATTTATGGGAGATGTTGACAATGTTCCCATTGGATTTTCATGTGTCTGGGCATACACACAAGCTCTCTGAGCACACTGAGGACCGCTGAGTAGTAAACGCTGTGGCCACACACCAGTATCACACTTGCTTAAAACCTCGATCTTATCAGGTTACAATGGATTATTAATAGAATTAAATTAAAGCAGCAATTTCAGTAGGTTACTTTTAATAATAAGTAATTTAGCCCACTTGAAAAAATCGAAAAAGACATTTGACCTTGCTGAAGTCCAGTTGTGGTATGGACGAGAAGAAATGAGACATATGCACCTGACATAACACTTAGCAAACATCAAAACACATTCACATTTTGCACAGCGCCGTTTCCTGTTTGCAAAAGTATAATTACACACAGTTTTTTTTAATTAGCGTTCATATTACCCATACATTATGTAGTAGTAAATGCATTAATTATAAATATCCATAAATGAAAAAAATCTTAAGAAATGTCACTAGGAAATGCACAAATCTAGCTTAAATTTGACCTTATTTTACACTAGTCTGTTGATGGCAAACTCGTTTGCTACTTTGGCTTTGCTGCATGTTTCTTACTCGAAAAAAAGAAAATCCTACCCAGTGTTACTACTTATTCATCTGTTTGCACATACTGCGTCGGCCAGTCCATCTTAAAAGAACCGAATTTATTTTTTACTTTGACTTGGTGAGTGAATGTCATGATAAGGAGTTAGCATTTACGTCTATTGATACCGCCGCACTGTTGTTACCTAGCTAAGGTTGAATTTTATTTCATACACTGCACAGATTTTATTGGGCGCTGAGAATGTTTGAGCAGTGCGTAGCTTAGAGGGAACATTGGACGCTGGCGATGTTGTAGGTTGAGGACATCGTTAACCAAGGACCTCCATCCATCCATCCATCCATCCATTTTCAGCCGCTTATCCGTTACCGGGTCGCGGGGGCAGCAGCCTCCACCCAAATCACGCCGCACCGCCCCCTGAACCTTCCTGCGGGTGGTGAGTCCACTGGAAGGTACCAACCGTCCTAACTGGGATTCGAACTTGTCCAGGAGGTGAACCCTGGGGTTCCACGCCAATGACAGAGACATTGCCTCTGGACCAAAGCGCCACTCCAAGAACCTCCTGTATTACAAATAGAAATCATAGAGCTCTCTTGCCTCATCATAACGTACTTCAACAACGATATGTTAGATACAGCTTAAGAGTGCGTCTGCTTCCCAGCCTGTTCTCCTACGCAAATCCATGCGCCAGCCAGCAGTAAAACTGGATGATTTTGGTTATTTTTATTGTCCATCCATCCATCCATTTTCATCCGTTACCGGGTCACGGGGGTAGCAGTCGTCACCCAAATCACACTGCACTGTACCAACCCCCCTGAACCTTCCTGCAGGTGGTGAGTCCACTGGAAGGTACCAACCACCCTAACTGGGATTCAAACTTGTCCAGGAGGTGAACCCTGGGGTTCCACACCAATGACAGAGACATTGTCTCTGGGCCAAAGCGCCACTATTTTTATTGTGTTTGTGTGCAATTACAAACCACAGTGTTCGACCTTAACTCTCACTGCACTGCATGTTTTTTTTTTAATTTTTTTTTTTTGTATAACTAAAACTTATTTTGAACTCTTTTCTCTGATTCCAGGTCAGAATTTCACAGGAAAATCCAACATTTGCTCCATTTGTGGAACCCTATGCCCTGACTCTTTGTTCTTGGAAGAACATATTAAATTGATGCACACGGACTCGGCTCAGGTGCTGCAGGCCTTACAATCCACCGCGCCCTCTTCCTCTTCCTCTTCCTCCTCCACACTGACCTCGATCTGCAACAGCGGCGCTGAGTCCAGAAAAGACACTCAAGTGCAAAATGTCGATGCTTCCAAGTCAGGCGATGCTGCAGGCCTCGCCCAGGAAGGAAGCCATGTGAAAAAGGAGATCAAGTTGGAGGGAGGTTACGAGTGTGGCGACTGTGGCCGCCATTTTAACTACCTTGGTAACCTGCGACAGCACCAGCGTATCCACACCGGCGAGAAGCCCTTTATGTGCCCCGAATGTGGCGAGAGATTCCGCCACGCGGCGCGCTTAAAGAATCACAGACTGATACATAGCGGAGCCGAGAGTCCCTACCCCTGTCCTCAGTGTGGCAAGGGGTTCTCCGTGCTCTCCGGACTCAAGAGACACCAGAGGGTGCACACCGGTGAGAGTCCCTACGCTTGTCCTCAGTGCGGCAGGCGTTTCAAGGAGCTCGGAAACCTTTACACTCACCAGAGGATCCACAGCGGGGCCACGCCTTATTGCTGCCAGAATTGTGGGCGGAGCTTTCGACACCTGGGAACATTCAAAAGCCATCGGTGCACACCCGCCCTTTAACAGACAATGGCAGTGACTTTGAAAGGAAATGGCTCTGACGTTTTTTACTGGTAGTCTGGTAGCGTGATGAGGCTACATCTGTGTTGATCTGTTTCGATGACGTTGTTCGATTCAAAAAAAAAACTGACCCTGTCTCTCTAATTTAGTTGGAACAAGTGAAGAAACGTTAACGCGGTGTACGCGAATTCCTTTTTTGGAAAACGAGAGTCCAGAAACCACCGAGCATGGAGTGCTTTATAATCAAGGAAACGTTTTTTTTTTTTTTTTTTTTTTTAATCTGCACACGCTGATGCTCCCTCTTCTTCCTTTACATTTTTGGATTGGCTTCAATGTTAAAGGTCTTTTTTTTTTTTTAAATTAAATTATTATTGTTATTGCTTATTACAGGGGGTCCTCGGTTTACATCGGAATTGTCTTCCTGCCGCATGCCTCACTTGATTTTCACCATAAGTCGGAACTCGGGTACTGTACATTCGTACACTCGCAACACTAACAAAGAGATGACATCATAATCGAGGAGATGCATAAGTGAACAAAGATGTCTTCCATGTACAGTGCTGCGAGATGCTGTATTTGGCTTGCCCAAGTATCTCCCGTGCAAACGTTTCTTTTTAATACCGTACGTCGGAATGATGGAACAAGACTTTATTAATAAATGTAACCAAGAAATCTTAGAAATAGGCTGCGGACGTTGTAAACCGATGAGCCCCAGTATTATGTTGCTTACAGCAAAAACCAAAATGTCACCGTCTTCTATCGCAAAATACAGGAGAGATTAATACCGAGTCAGGCTAACTGAATAAAATATCATAAACTATCGTATTTTCCGGACTGTAAGTGAGCTTTTTTTCCATCCCTTGGCTGGGTTTGCGACTAATACTCAGGTGCGACTTATATATTAAAATATATAATTTCTCATGTTTGTAATTTTCACACTTGACAGCCTGTAGAGGGCACTCTAGGCTTGTGTAGTCGCACTTTTGTTCATCCTTTGGCTTGTGCGACTTACACTCCGGAGCGATTTATAATCCGGAAAAATACGGTAGTTACGATAGTTTGGATTAAAGATCTTGCATTTGTATGTGTTTTACATCAAATTGAATCCTTTTTTTTTTTTAAAGTAACAATTAAAATTACGATATTATATTGTGGTTTTCTTTTAGCAAGTCATCTTGTGATGGATTTCCTATTGAGTGAGACCCAGTCAGGACAGAGCAAACAATTTGAATGGACAATTGACAAGAAATCAATTTAAAGCACTTGCAGCTATTCATTTTATGTTCCATAGGGTGAAAAATGTCTGCTGTTCCAGAATTTTCCCAATACGTAGATGCTGCTCTCGAGGCTAGTAAGTCAGTCAGATCAAGCCTATGTTGTCTGTGTGAGTCCATCGTTCACAGAATCCATGGCAATTAGTGATTCAATTCCATCAAACTGACTTGTACAGAGAGCAGCAAGACATTTTTTTAAAATTTAATTTAATTTAATTAGTGTATACGTATACACTATATGTACTGCATATAGGTTTTAGTATTTATTTCATTGTGTTTATTTGCCCCAACCTAGAGGCTGGTACTTGGAAATATGGTAAAAAAAAACATAAAACTGGCCCCTTCCACCAGGTTCTTACTTCCAGAAAAACAATCTTACTTCAATATCCAGAAAAAAAAACAACACCTTGGACATGACATTGTGTTGTTTTGCTGTTGGCTACCTTTAGTTTTTTTTTTTTTTTTTGTTGCTAAATTTGCAAAAAAAAAGAAAGAAAAAGTGTGCTGCTCATTCAAACAAACACATTACATTTCTGATCATGAAGAACACTGTTTATAACACGTAGAGCAGAAAACTGATCCTAGATCTGTTTTTTTTATATAAATCACTGTATTCTGCTTTTAACAAACTCTGTATGGAACACTTTCTATGTTAGCCTGAATGAAATAAACTGGTGTGATAATAAATAAAGAGAAAACAGCAAAAAAAAAAAAAAAAAACAAAAAAAAAAAAAAAAACAAAAAAAAAAAAAAAAAAACAAAAAAAAAAAAAAAAATTTGTTGAAAACTTTCAACTAAGGTGTTCACAACTGTCTTAAAAAGAGGAAAAGTCTAAAAATAAGGAAAAGAAAAAAAAACCCAAACATTTCCAGATCAAAGCCTGGGGTGTAAAAAGAATAACAATGCTAAGGATTCAGTTAAAAACAAAGCGTCACGTTGTTCAGAAATAATTTAAGGTAATCACATAGAGAGTTTGGATATTTTCAACTGCGGTTACATGATGTCCAATGCATTTGTAGCATTGAATGTTAGCATTAGCTTCTCTTTCAGTGCCAGTAACAAAGATTGTGATATCTATGTCACCGATGCTAACAGAGAGGTTTGGCCATAATCTGGGACATAAAAACTTCAGAATAGCATGACTTACACTTGGGAGCCATAATGAAGAGCAAAACGTTCCCCAAAAAAAACCCAAAAAAACAACATAAACCCAAGAAAGCGAATGTAAAACAATCCAATTTATGGTAAGCAACCAGCGAATGTAAACAAAGCCGTCTTCCACATATAGTGCCACGTGAAAACTTATTTGCTCCGCTTGCCAACTGGGTCTGTGTGAAATATGTTTTAACATTCTATGTTGGAGTGATGGAACAAAAGCTTCTTAATAAATATATGGAATATGGCGATGTAACCACAAAACGTTGTAGCTCGAAGATGTCCTAATCTGAGATTGTTTTACATTCGCTTTCTTTGGTTTATGTTTTTTTTTGGGGCGGGGGGACATTTTGCTCTTCATTATGGCTCCCAAGTGTAAGTCATGCTCTTCTGATGTTTTTATGTCCCAGATTATGGCAAACACCTCTTTGTTAGCATCGGTGACATAGATATCACAATCTTTAGTAAGTCTTTGTTACTGGCACTGAAAGAGAAGCTAATGCTAAGAGTCAATGCTACAAACAGCTACGACATCTTTTGTGATGTCTAAGCCGGACAGTCTAAAAACTGACGTCTCACTCACACTACTTTTTTTTTTTTTTTAAAGTACTTAAAAGTTTTTAGCTCAGTGAACAAATGAACTGCAGGTCCACTTGTGATCTTGACATGCCTCGTCAAGTCACATTAAAAACCATATTTTGATAGCTAGTCCATTTGATCATTTGATATTTTAATTTTGTATCTGCATTTTCAAATATATTTTTTTAAATTAAAAAAGGGTAGTTCTGGTTTTAGTTAGATAGGTTTACTGCACGCAGTGTTTCTACTTCCTCTGCAAGTCAACTATATTTAAGGTGCCTCATGTAGACAAAATAAATAAATCATACCACAAGGGGGCTCTCCAATGCTTTAATCAAAAACCCTGTGACCAAAAAAAAAAAATAAAAAAAAAATAAAAAGAGCGGTCATTCTGCAAACAGTAAATCAGAGATATCAGCAAATATTATAATATGTTAAAATCATGAGAACAAAGTCAAGGAATAATAACAATATATAGAAGGACATTTTTAAAAAAAAAAAAGTGACCAAAAATAAGAGACCGATGAGACATAATGGCATAAATAAAACTTGTATCTGTAAGATGTCACAAAAGTTTTTGTTCAGATATTATGGGGTTTAAAAATCTGGTGAGTGATGCAACAGAAACATGAAAAGTCAATTCATAATCAAAGATAGAAAATACAGAAAAGTTAGAGGTTTGTGAAAAAAAAAAAACAACCCCACTGTAAAATAATTTAAGAATTTCAGTTTTTAGCAACAAAGAATTACAGCACAATTTTGTCATCAGCACAAAGGCACACAAATGGGACATTTATTAATTGTACATTTTCCCCCACATAATACGGTAATTGATTAATGTACCAACTCTTCTTTTATCAGAGAGATCAATTATTATGTTGTGGGCGTTGTACAAATTACAGCAACATTTCTTTACTAGGATAATTTATACATTCAACAAGTGTAATTTAAATGGAATAATACCATAATATCAAGTATATCATTTTACGACGCTGGCTGATGAAATTATAGTATTCTTCTGCTTAGCAACAGTGCTGGAGTTCATTGTAGGGATTTTAGAAATGACGTTTTTTTTTTCTCCTGAATAATTTACACGTTATTCATACTTTTGTTCTATTATCAATACTATTTACTATTTATCATTCCTCTCGTCTGGGATTATTTGAGTTTTTTTGCACACAATTGCAACAGCACTGGTTGTATTTTATTGTATTTTATAATTTAATTTAATTTAATTTAATTTAATTTAATTTAATTTAATTTAATTTAATTTAATTTAATTTAATTTAATTTAATTTAATTTAATTTAATTTAATTTAATTTAATTTAATTTAATTTAATTTAATTTAATTTAATTTTATTTAATTTTATTTAATTTTATTTTATTTTATTTTATTTTATTTATGTACTGGACTCGAATACAATAAATCGAGTTAAAACTGCTTTTGTGTTTCAATCAATATTTGTATATTTATTTAATTCTACAAATGGCATTCTTTTAATATTATAATCAGTCTTTATTTGTTGCTTTTTACAAAACATATTTAACAGAAAATATGAAAAATGTTTGCATTTTATTCACAAAGGCAACGAATTAGCTGTGTGTGCTATCGCAATGCAATTGGCGTAAAACTGTAAAGACAGCTATATCTTAATGTGCTCAGACTAGGTTTGTTCAGCAGTCACATTCCACGACTTTTTTCTTTTCCCTCTCACGTGTTCATACACAGCTCTTGACCACTTGTGAGTGATCGGAAGCTTCCTGGGCGTCATGAGCCCCGGAGATCCAGTGGTAGCAGTCGCTGGCATTCTTATTGTGTGGCATAATGGCGCAGCGGCTGCAGAAGAAAACACCCAAAGCAAGCATCACGAGAATAAAAACACAGAGAGGCACCAGAACTCCGACCAAGAACCAGGCGTTGCTCTCTTTCTGTCCACCTTCGTTCACGGGTGGCCTGCTAGGAGTAACCTCGGGGGAAACTGTTGTTTTTTGGAACAACGTGATCTCCTCGCTGGCGTCTTCGTCTGGCCCCAGATCTTCCTGTGGCAACAAATAGTTGGAAAGAGGGGCCTGGGTTTTGTCTTCCCCCTTCTTTGGGTCCTAGGGTGGAATCCTCTGGATTTCCTGGTTTATAACTCGGAGGTCTGGCCCACCAAGCTGCCTCTGATGTTTTAGCAGTCCAACTCGTGGGAAGACTTGTAGTTGTGTCTTCATCATTTTGATCCAAAATCAACTTCGTACTAATGATGGGCGGAGTTGTTCTATGGATAGTTTCGGCCAAAACCTCGACCTCTGAATGGGACGTTTGCGTTACGGGGTCAACTGACGCCGAATAGGGCGGCTCGTCGCGAGGAGCACTGGTAACCCAAATGACATCTGAATTGAACATTTTCGGTGGGTCAGTTAGCCATTTCAAAGACTGCTCCCCCTCCTGTAGAGGCCGCTCCATCTCTCTCTCCCTCTCGCTCTCTCTCTTCACATTCCAGAGATAATCAAGAGGACCCCATGAAAGAGCAGGTCTGAGAGTGACCCAGGGAAATGGAGACGTGACGGTAGAATGCTCCTCTCTTTCACTTATTCTCTGACACGTGTACTGGTCGGACGTGCCTAACTCGTAGCCTTCCTCACAGTAACATTCAAATCCGCCGTCGTAGTTGACGCACATTTGGTCGCAGGTCCACGGGATCTGGCATTCGTCTATATCTTGACACCGGTTTTGGTCCTCAGGGACCGGCATGAAACCAAAATGGCAGTGACAGGTATAAGAGCCCAGTGTGTTTTCGCACTGGGCGTCTTCACACGGTTGAGTCGTGCACTCGTCCACATCCTTACACTCGCCCTCGCCATCTACAAAGTAACCCTCCCTGCAACTACAAACAAACGACCCCGGGACATTTTCGCAAGTGTGCTCGCAGGGACTCAGTAGGCACTCGTTGACATCCACACATGTGTGTTCGTCCGGTCCAAGCAGGTAGCCTTCGGGGCAGTCGCAGCGATATCCGTCGGAGAGAGGCAGACATTCAAACTCACAGGGGTCCCCGTGACAAACATCAGACAGCTCGCAGCTCCGTTCGTCAACACCGAGCTGGTAACCCGCGTCGCATTCGCAGTAGATGTGGGAACCAGCTGTCCTGCAGTAGTGCTGGCATCCACCGTTGTCGTCGTCACACCACGATTCAAGGAGATCGGAGCAAAGAGGAGAGCTTCCCGACCACCTGACCGACCCATCTTCCTTCAGCACACAGGAAACTGTCTCGTCTTCCTCGGATGGTCCAAGGCATGGCATGGTAGCAAATGATCCCAAAGGTACATGGGTCAGCACGGTGCTCACGACGTCAAACGGGGTCGCGTAAATGGCATTGCCGGCCCCTTCGCTCGGCAAAGCGCCACACATTCCTTTGTAAGCGTAGTGGCAAAGAAAGCCGTCAACAGGGACCGAACAGGCAGCGTCCAGCCATTTGAAATTGTCGCCCTGCTGGATGAAGCTGTAGCCCATGGTCACGCAGCGTGGCACCGCGCACATGCTTGGGGTATCTTCTCTTTGCCAGTTGGTGTACTCTGTGTCCTGGTCACCTGTAGTCCAAGAGAATCCCCGCAGGGGTTGTGCACTGTTACACTGGCGAGGCTGACGTTGTAGGCCAATCCAAACCCGGACCTTACTGTGCAGATTGTGCGAGTCCAGCGTTGAAAAAAGTGTAGCGATATTGACGGCGTCTCCCTTGCGTTTAATGGTGGCCATATTGCCACCTTTTTCTTTGCACACCCGCCACGAGTCCAGGAAGGTTTTCTGTTGGAAATAAACAACAAAGCAGCCGTCCGCGTTGCACAGCGCATCCTTGTGTCTCAGTTCCTGGCCCCAAACTGTAGACATTCCAAAGAATAAACCCAGCACAAAGGACAAATGAAGTGCAGCAGCACAGCTCACCAGTGCGCCCATTCTTTTATATACTAAAAAAAAACAAAACAAAACAAATTACTTTACACTCGTCTCTTACTCTGATGGTTCACACTCTCGCGTGTCCCGCTGTTATTTAAAGCCCCCGTGCAACTCGGTCTTCCTCGTGCAGCATTTTACTTTTCCCCCTTTTCCTTTATGAACCGCTGCCTGCCTGTGTTCCCCCCCACTCCAGCACGCAAAAACAGATGTGAGCTGAAGTTGAGTGCATGCAGATTGTCCCAAGTTTGCAGAGAGCAGGGAGGGAGGGAAAATATGGGACAGGGGTATGAGAGAGTGATATGAAGCAAGTGGGA